ACAAAGGAGCAGAGCGTACTGAACTGACTTGCTGAGAATAATAACAGCTTCTCTAAATGCCCTGTTGTTGTCTCTTTTTAACGTAAATATCTCTATCTATCTATCTCTCTCTAACATCTAAGGTATGTATGCCCCATTCAAATTCCTAGAAATTGTAACAAGAACCCTTTTGAGCATGTAGTAAAAGTGATTACTGACAATTACAATTTAAGGAATTTGGCCCCTGTTAAGAAATAATAGGCCCATATTTTTTTATAACTTCGGTATTATACCATTTTGGAACATTCCAAAATTGTTTAGTTGCGTCAATTTTTAAAAAAAAACTTGCCATACTAGTGTTCATACTTTTTTTTACACCACGATAAGTTAAAGTTGGTTAAAAGTAAGTCTTCAAAAAATTTAGGGAATAAAATAAGCTTCATTAATTTTCGTGATAAAACAAGAGTTATTCTGGATTTTTTAAGAATTGTGGTAGATAGCAGTGCTATTCAGGTTGCCTATAAAAAAAGAAACAAATATTAAAAAATTGTGGTCATGGTAGTGAAAAATATCATAAACGGTCTCAATTTCTGAAGAATTTTTTTTTATATAACTTAAAATATAATTGGGATATATTTTTTTTCTTTTTTTCCCAGATTAGTCCGGGGCAGGTCTATCCTCCGGTGTTGGCTTATCGTTGAATTTTGGGACATGTTGTATATAACGACATCAGGATAACAAAGAAACGTCGGCAACTTCATGAACTTGAAAACTGCCGTCAAAATGCAAGCAGAGACTACCACAGGACTTGAGGGAGAAACTTTTTGAACAGTACTGGAGTTTAGGTAGTTACGAAAATAGGACTAAATACATTGCGAAATGTATTGAAGTCTGCCGAAAAAAAAACGTCGAAGTTTTCTCCAAAGAAAAAACGCAACGTCTGCTTTCGTTACTTTGTACATGGTTTTGATCATACAAAATATCCAATTTGCAAAGGATGTTTTTGAAGACTTTAGATGAAAGTCACAAATATCTACAAACGGTATGCGAGAAATTACAAGACAATGGCGGTGATCTTCTTCAGCGTAAACGTCGAGTTGGTAAGTCAATTCCCGATTTCAAACTAGAGAAAATAAAAGAACATATTGCTTGTTTCCCTTGCACAGAAAGCCACTACGGCCGCAACAAAACCACAAGAAAGTTTTTGAATACCGAGCTCAACCTTCAAGTTCTTTATAACTTATACAAACTGAAGACTGATGCTCCAGTAAGCAAAACCATCTTTAAAAAGGTCTTTGAAACCATGAATTTATCCTTCAAAAAGCCATCTGTAGACACTTGTTCAAAATGTGACCGCATCAATATGAAACTTAAGTATGCATCTGTGGATCAGGCTGCAAATCTCAAGACGCTCAAGGAGCATCAAGAAGCGTTTAACATTTTTTTAAGCGAGGCTGCTTACGAAGAGAAAAAGGCAGATAAACAACTGGCTCAATCGAGCGAAGTTGTAGCTGTCATAACATTTGATTTGCAACAATGTTTACCCACCCCGTATTTGCAAACGAATGTTGCATTTTATAAGCGACAATTGTGGACATTTAATTTGACCATACACGATTTGAAAACAAACAAGGCTTTCTGTTACATGTGGCCGGAGTGTGAGGGTAATAGAGGGGATAATGACATTGCTTCGTGTTTATACGATTTTATCATAAATCAACTACCAAACTTACACACAAACGCTAAGAAGCTGATCATGTTCTCGGACTCTTGTTCTGGCCAAAACAAGAATTCGATTGTAACAACAATGTTAATGCTAGTTACTAGACTATCCCCACAATTGCAATTTGTTGAACATAAATTTCTCGTACCCGGCCATACACACATGGAGGCTGACACCGACCATGCATTGATTGAGCGTAAAAAGAATCACACGAATATGGATGTACACTTGCCAAGAGATTGGTACCAACTAGTGCATACAGTTTCAAACAATACAGTCAAGTTTACTGTTAACGAAATGACTCATGAAATGTTTTATGATTTTAACATTTTCGTAAAGCAATCTTTTACTTTTAGGAAAATGAATACAGCCAATGAAAAGTTTTTGTGGTTGAACGTTAGATCTGTTCTTTATAACGAGGAAAACATATCCTGTTTTTCTTACAAAAAAGAGTTCAAAGATGTTGAGTACATGACCATGGACTGCTCGAAACGGGGGTAAACTTATGATAATATATTTACGATAATATGGTACCGAAAGCTTACCACTCTAAACTTCCTATTTCAACCGATAAGAAGAAAGATCTATTAAATTTGTTATGTTTTATTCATGAGAGCGCTCATGAGTTTTACAGAAGTCTGAGCTGCAAAAATGATGTCAAAGACAGTCCAGAGGATAATGACGATGATTCCGATGGTGAATAGGTTCTGGTTCATATAACTTATAGATCGAAAGACTTTGTTACTTTTTTATTGCTTTGTTAACGTTAGTCTACATACAGGTGGGTATATTATAATAATTTAAAGAGGTTCAATTCTGATTTGAATATAAGTATTTTTTTAGTTAACATTATAATCATTTAAGACGAGTTATCCATCTCATAGAGTGGAATTTATTATCTACCTCTATGGAACACCTGTTAAAGTTTGAAGTGTTAGAATTTTGTTTGATTGTTATTTTCCTAGATTTTTAGATTAAGACATGATTGTGATACTTTGTATTGTACTTAGTAGGTAAATATTGCTTATCGTGATACCTAAAGATAGATTTGTGTCATTTCTTAGATTTTAAGTTTAAAATTACTTGCTAACTTTTGTACAAATGATAAGTTCCTATTGAGGATAGTTAAGCTACATTCATATTGTTAAATCGTGATTATTTGATCTCAATTTACTTTTTTTAAGAATTTTGATAAATTTGTGCCTTCAATTTGAGTGAATTATTCATTTTGAAAAAGTTTAATAAACGTTGATTATTTTTCTAAATCTTATATTTATTTACACAATCCATATCTCTTTTGCTGATGGGACATCTTCTAAAATACTAGGATTTTAGTATTCTGATACAATTCAGGTAAATATTGTAAATAGCCGACTGATAAGTAAAAAAAATGAAATCTAAATGGTTATATCTTTATCTTTTGTTCGAAGAACATTGTGCTAGGATCATTATTCTGATGAGTTATTAGATGTTTTGACTTTGTGTATATCGGTTTACACAACAGTAACTTATAGGTTCAACATAATATAACCGTACAAGTATCATTTATCACATAATAAACATAATAAAAGGTACAACTCACAGGTTTTCATGATTTACTTTAAAAATTAAATATATTTACTAAAAAACTAAAATATAAGAATATTTTACTCTACAAAAGAAGATACTCAAATTTAACCTAACCCACTTAGTTCACTAACAAGAATTTTTTAAATCTTGTTTTTGCGCTTTTGCAAAATGATGATTTTTCACTTGTATCACCTATCACAAGAGGCATATATATATAATAACATTCTAAAACTATTGTATGAGAATATCATGTATGTTATTACTCTAAGGAGAAAGTGTGTCATTGCTCTAAGCACACAATCCACCTGATGGTAAGCGGATGTTGTGGCCCATAGATCAACATCTATCTTTGATTAGGAATTAAAATGTTGATGAGTTGTCACCCTTGAAAAATACGATGTAAAATCTCATTAATTACTGTAGTATGTAAGTAAGTAGTAAAAATAGTGTCCGGGTTACTACACATACCATACGAAACAGCAGCATTAAGCTTCTATTTTACACCAGTATCGTGAAAGTGTGGTCCGTCACTTTTTGAGGCCATTCGTGCTACAGTCGTACAGTGTCACCAACTTATCTGTTCAGGTGGACAAAATTGGAACTAAGGACGCCATTTTATAAATGACATTTCGATGTAATTTATTATTAAGGGCCTGCGTTCACAGACGGCTGGCATTGCAAGGCGCGGCAAGGCATACTTCGGCATGCCGAATGAAGGATCATTTAGCATTTTTTTTTATAGAATAGGCTGACAAACGAGCACACAGTCCACCTGATGGTAAGTGGTTGCTGCAGCCCATAGACATCTACATCTATCTTCCATTACAAATCAAAATGCAGATGCGTTGTCACCCGTGAGGACTGAGATGGAATGCCTCATTTTCAGTAAAAAGGGTCTCCGGTTCTCTACACTCACCATACGAAACACAGCAGCATTAAGCTACTATTTCACGCTGGTATTCTGTGAGAGCGTGGTCCTTCCCCGGTCGAGCCGACCCATTCGTGCTACAACTATACTACTAATATAACTGCAGCATGGCTCTACCACGTAGAAGCATCCCGCGGCATGCCGCAAACAAGCCAAGACGCGCTCGCTTGAGTCGCTGAGATAGCCGCCAAAACGGGCTAGATTCAACTTCGTTTCAATTACTTAGCACTCACATTCCCTTAACAATATAAAGTAACCTATGCCTCTAACGTGATGCAGCGGCGTGCCGCGACATCCAATGCCGTGACGTGCAGTAACACGCCGCGGTGTCACGCGAGACGTTTCGGTCAATTCGTGTTAAAAAAAAGGAATGACAATGCCAAGATCATTAAAATAACGTTAAAAACCTTTTTTCCCCACAAAAAAAATCTCTTTGACACTCCGTGCCATGTGTGAGCGCAAGCCCTTATTCTGTGCTGTCGGGTAAATGCTTTTTTTTGAGTTCATTGTGAAAATGGTGTTTTGTTTGAATTCGTTGTGAAAAATGCAAATAAATATGTAGTCACCGACTTGAGTGGCAATAGTAAGCTCCACTGGCGACTCTGTCAACTGAACAGTAAAGTTGGTGACACTATAATGAAGCTGCATCGTTGCTCTACCATGCATAAAACCTTACTCTATCGCATCTTATGACACCCACGGGATGAGATGAGGTAGTGGATGTTTTACGCCACCATTACACGGCTATTATAATAATATGCATTTACTACTTAATGGTCAATAAAAGGGAATAGCAATTACCTCTTGATAGATATAATCCTGACTACGATGTCTGCATCCAAAGTACAAAATGTTGGCACCAACTTCTTGTCCTTTGGTACGGGCGTGAGCGCGTTCCTGCAAAAAGCCTCGGAATGGCGCCAAACCTGTCCCAGGACCTACCATAAGTATTGGGGTTTGTGTTTGTAAAGGCAACCTGTAATAGGATAAGAAAGTGTATTTTAGTAATGACTTTAAGTTATCGTTTGACTTAGAATTCTTAATTTACAAAAATTCTATTATTTTTATGTTATTATTGCTTGATACTGGCAAAAGTAACCATACAAGTGCATTACTAAACAAAAGTCTTCTTTTTTCAAAGTCAGTTGTTCATTTCTGTCATTGAGTTTTGTTTGTTTCACAATTACGCTATATTTTTAATTTTTTATGCATGGACTATAACTAAATTCGTGTTAATCTGAATGAGTTTGGAAACGCCATATTAATAACGCATACGGCTTACCGGTTAAATAGCTTTCATTCGGAAAATTTTGACTTCAGACATGAACCTCATGGGCGTCCGAAGAAGGTCGATAGTGACGAACTGATATAGCTTTAGTAGAAGCATATCCATCTCATACTACGGCTTTTGATGATATGTCAAAACAATGTGAGATCATTTGTGGCAACTCAGTAAGATAAAGATATTTAGCAAATAGTTACACGACGATCTGAGTGATGCACAGCGAGAGGCTTGTGTCCAAGCTTGCATGATATTGATGAATCGGCAAACAAACAAGGGATTTTGAGTAAAAATGTTAAATTAATATGTCAATCACAAGCATTGAAAACAGGGATCCAAGTGCCAAAGCCAAACTGTGACCAAAACGAAAGAATAGCAAGAAAAACATTTAACTACCAAACAGTAGTTTAAATTTTCTGATAAAGTTTATTACTGCATTAGGTACACTTTGAATGAAATAAAAAAATATTGGAAAAACAAAAACATTGAATATTTTCATTAATTATTTAAATTAGTTACTAATTTTTACCATACAAATAAAAATTATAACACTAATAAAAATGCATACTATAACAGTTAAATTTCATGGTTATATACCTGAATTGAGATTTACGGATATAAACAGGTACTCGTGGAAGTGGCTTGCCAGGTTCCGGCTTATGTTTGGCTAACCACGTAGTCGCCACGCCCTTGTTAGTGCGACCCGTCGGCGTCTTATATTCAACCACTACAGCCGTGATGTGCACTGTCTCTGGGTGAAGCTGTAAAACATATTCACATCTACAAAATGTGTGGTAATGCAATTGCCCGTAAATCGCATTCAATCTGGGATAATTTCAAATAAAAGAAGCCTTATTTATTTGTAAAGTATCCTTATGTTTAACGTGAGTATACATATCCAATTTTTAAATGAGTAATTATCATAAAAGTTTGTTGCAATATTTTACAAACCTTCGGACTTGATGAAATTGAATAATATCTTGGCTGAAGACGAGGTAGTAGTTCACAAATATGATCGATAGGTGGTTTACAAGATTTGAGATCTTCCAAAATATGTACAATATTCCTACATGCATCCATTATAAATGAGTGGTACAGGGCTTTACCTTCCTGAGAGTTAGTTGCCATAAGTAGCAGTTTCTTCTTGTCCTAGAAATTTTAATAATTATTAAATTGATGACTGAAGTATCTTTATCACAAGAAATTTTTCCACACTATTCCCAAAAAGTCACATATTTGTGACAGATACACACCTCTTCATCAGAGCAGTACTCAGCAAGTTCCCTTAGAATGTGAGTACGAGGTAGAGCTGTAATTTCTAGGTAGTGAGAAAGAGCAGTGCGATATGATGTGGGGCATGGGAAGGGATGTTTTTTGCTACTCTCTTGGTCAGTATTTATAAGCGAAAATATTTCATCTAGATTTGCGCCAGTCAATACTCCAAGACGTTCAACTAAATCCCTGTCATTGATTGGGTATATTGCAACATGATCACCTGTAAGTTAGGTAATAATTATAATTTATAATTAATCGTAAAACATATGTTGTTCCTTATTTATGTTGAAATGCTGATTTTACCAGCTTCATATCGCATCTTTGAGTCTGAAATATCAAGCTCCACATGAAGACATGACCGGTCACCTCCTTTGTGCAATTCTCTATTTACTTTAATTTGTGCTAAGAAAGGATTCTTTGCATCGTAAGGTCTGAAATGGAAATTGTTATTGTAAAACAAAAAATTTCAAAACTTTGTTCAAAATGTTTGAACTACCATTAACCTAACAGTATTAAAGAAATTAAAATAAATTAGTTTTCGAATATTTACTTAATATTTTTTAAAAAAATTACTGCTATTCCAAAAGAACTTTAATTTGTATTTTTTTAAAACATTACCTAAAAAGAATTTGATGGAAGCTAAAAATATTGTTCAATTTAAATAAAATGCACTTTATTTCATCAATGAATTCATGATGCCCTTAAGACTAGGTTGGACAAAATATATACAATATTTTTTATGAGACATGATTTTGACGCACGAGAATTGATACTTCTTGAAATATTGTAAGCTCAGAAAAAAAATGCACATACTTACATAAAATACTCAACTAAATTCTCCACTGAGTGGATTTTTAAAATACTTAATATTGATCAAGATAAAAAATTATGATGGAATAGCCAAAAATAACGTTTGAATTCTAGTTTTTTCAAGCAATAATCATATAATATTTTTAGATAATATGAAATGCAAGTTATTCGATTTGATTCTTAATCAGATACACTTATATTTAGATTTTTTTAATTTCCTGATAATAAGCAAAAACATTTAAAATAAAGTGACTTTTTGTCCTCCAAATGTTGCATGCTAACTTTGTGCTGGACAAATATGCATGCAGTGAAGTAGAGAGCATTATAGGCCATTTAATGTATGAAATCCTCGGCTTAACCTTAAAGCCTGCTAGGTAAAAAATTAACTTCTAATTAGTAGTATTTACTGATACATCATACTATGTCAATGTCAATGAAAAATAATTCAATTTCTTAATTTGTTCATCTATTGCACCCAATTTTTCTAATATATTAATTGCTTCTCTAATAATTAATTTATTAATTATAAACTTGGCAAATTGCAGACTTACGGCTTCTGAACTTGAAGTGAATGTAGTCTAGCAATTTCACCAGTAAATATTTGATTAGGAGTTAGTTCCTCAGGCTTATGTACCACAAGTTGAAACTGCCTTGTCAGCTCCTCTTCCCCTGCACTTTCAATGTTGAACTTCTCACAAACAGCTGGCCAAAACTTATCTTTCCAAGTGATAAAATCATCTTCAATGCTGAAATCGCAATTTTATAAAATAATGGTTATTATCTAAAGTTTTATTATTAAAAGCTAGCAAATGGCAACTTGCTTTTAATACTGATGTCAGAGATGGTGTTAATGATAATTTTTTTGTTTATATGATCATAGGTATATTCATGTAAATTATAATATGTAATATTTACTTTGCATCGTCATCTCCCAGTCCAAGTTCATATACCCGAGTAGCACCAAGTTCCTCAAGACGCTTGTCCAAATAGATGGCAACTGCGTTGTAATGTTCATATGTCTTATTGCCCAAGCCAAATACCTAAAAATAAATCATCATAGACATTATTTAGTATCCAATGCGTTTATAATTATGTAAAAATTTTGTGCAATGATGATCCTAGGCATAAAATATGTATTTAAAATATCTCTTTCGAGAGTAATATAAAATTAAAGTTGGAATTATTTTTCTTTTAAATTTTGAAATATAATATAATTTTAAACACATTTTATAGTTGCTTATGAACATACTCCTCATATACATTATTTCATATAATCGCAAGTATTTTACAATAATTATTATTACACTAGCTGTTACCCGCGGCTTCGCCCGTATGGTCACTGGGAAATGAAATATCCATTGCTTTTTGAATTAAAAGAAAACTGAGTGTTCATTAAAAGGAAACAGCAAAATTGATTCATCAGCCTATTTAAATGTTTTGAAACGCAGCGTATAGGAAAGCATGAAAATAGCCTGTTTATTCCAAATGGAAATGGGATATTTTTTTAATTAAAGGAAACTGAGCATATTTATCCGTCAGGGATGCAGACTTTTGAAAAGAAACTGAGCTAAATTGATACGTCAGAGATGCAGTTTTCTGAATTGAAAGGAAACTGAGCCAAATAAAAGATCCGTCTGAGATGCAGCCTTTTGAGTTGAAAGGAAACTGAGCTTAATAGGTCCGTCAGAAGTGCAGCATTTGGAGATGAAAAGAAACTGAGCTAAATAGGAAATTTTGAATTGAAAGGGAAGATCTGTGGGAATTCTGATTAATTGATTGTGGGAATTTTGGAAAAAAAAAACTAACTGAACACTATTTTAAGACGCTACTGTACACAATATTATATGTTTTTCCATTCGGGGAAAGAATGCGGAGATTCTGGGCATTTCATACACGCGAACATGCTACATACAGATGACGATGAGAGAAGCACGGTTTTTCTAAGTTGACCCCCGCTACCTGTAACGTTTGCCCTAGTGCTTTATTAATTGTCATTGCAAAACTGAGCTTAATAGGGAACTGCAACCTTTTGAATTAAAAAGGAAGATCTGTGGGAATTATAGGGATCCGTGGTATAACATTTTCACCTTTTCCTACGCCTGTCAAAATTGTAGCACCGATTATGTTCCGTCCAAGATGTGTCACACGCAGCCTTGTCCCGTTACATAACCGAGGAGCATCTACATTTCACATAAGCATGACTGGGACGCCTAATTTTAATTGAAGCTTATGTGAGGGCACACCTGACAACTCTAGAGAATTTAGAAACTCTACGGGATATGAAGTGCTCTGTTCTGTGTCCATAACTGTGTCTACTGACAAATACTCTGTTATTTCTCCTGCTACTTCGCTTAATATATCTGAATTTATTTTGTTAACGGTCTCATTTTTTGGTGCAAGAATCGCCCTTTCACATAACCATTTGTCTTCATGCATGTTGTTCATTAAATCTGAATAAACGCTCGCAATTAATTCGGAATGACTCTGTACTAAATTACAAAAATCTCTCGTCAATCTAACGCAGCCCTCAGCATCCGTTTCGAACCGCCCATCGCCAATTTTTAATAGTGTGTCAGCATAGTTTCAAGTCAGTCCGAGTAGCATTGATATCATTATACAAATGCACTCTCATATTCGTAGTTAAACTGAATTTTGTCACCTTGTTCCATAAAATAGACGACTTGAGGCATGCTTTAATTTCATCTGCAGGTGTGCCCTTTTGGATGACTGGTAAAGTTTGGCGAAAGTCACCAGCCATTAAAACCACCATTCCTCCATTACATCGATATTGCTGCGCAAATCCTGGAGCGTTCGATTTAGTGCTTCTACAGCTTTTTTTATGCGACATTGTACTTTCGTCCCACACTAAAAGCTTGCATTGTCGTAGCATTATACCTCGTGCACTATTTTTGTTAAAGTTGCAGATCGGCGATTCTTCCTGGGCTAGATTTAGAGGGAGTTTTAAAACAGAATGAGCAGTGCGGCCCCCGCTTAGCAGCGTGGCGGCTATACCGGAACAAGCTTCTTTGTACATTTTCCTTCTTTCATACATGGCATCATTGAATTTCGTGCTCCACATTACAGCCCTTCACAAGTCCACTGCTGAACGTAGGCCTCTAGGCCTACGTTCGTGCTCCACATGGACCGTGAATCATATTTCGGACGATGGTATCATACAATTCTTTATCTTGTTCAGGATCCGGAATCTCGGCGCTTATTATATCGTCTATTTGGCTGGGCCGCAACTTATCTTTAAGCCATATTAGAATGTGGGCATGCGGTAATCCTCTTTTTTTGCCATTCAATTGAATACATGAAGCACTGCACCTCTCCGAAAATTTTCCCTTTGTTAATAACATACATTAATTTTTGTACTTTTAATCTAAATACTCTAGCAACTAAATCGTGTCTGTCAGTACTTTTTTGGCCCGGCATTAGCTCCTCGGTTATTTCGTTCCATGTGGGATTGCAAGTTAAAGTAACAAAAAGATCAGGTCTTCCGTAAGTTCGTACATAGGCGAATGCATCTTGTGTGTACTCATGTAGGTAGCGGGGACTGTTACCGAATGATGAGGGCAGAATTACCACTTAACCTAAATCTCTGGGGTTTACATTGGCGTTGCTAGAAACTGCATCTTGTAAATGTATATAATTCTCAACGGGCAGGTTTTTTTGATTTAAAGCTATATAACAGAGATGTTCACTTTCTACCTTCACATACATGTCTACCAAAAATTGATGAAATAATTGTCTACACCGGGCTAAGAGGTTAAAATCATTTTCTCGCAACATCATATGATACGCATAAAAATCCATACATGATAACTTTTTTGTTCGGAGTAGTCTCCTTTGTGACCGGGTTAATGAGTGGAATTTGAAAATGATAACCCTCTTGTCCTTTGCAATAAATCAATGGGTATTTCAGAGCGTCATAAAACTTGTGTGTATCGGCTACCCGTTGCAACGTATCATCACGTGCTCGCAAGACAATGTCTCGTGAAGAAAATTGATCACCACTTATTACGGCTGCTATTTCGTTTATCAAAGGTTAATTATAGCGCCTTTCATGCTCTCCTCGAGGGGTCCGATCTGCGTGAATGACGACTTTGTAATACTCTTCAGGTAGTTTTTCTAAAGCAGTTTTAAATGTTTTGACTAAAATGTTACGTTCATGCAAGAATCTTTGAATTTTGAACACTGGGTCTCTCTCAACTCCCTGGATAAATTGGTAGCGACGGTCTACCTTAATTTCTTCGACACCCATAAAATATACTTGTATAAATTTATGCTGTTCGTTTTCAGCTGGAAAAAGTGAACCTATTCTATGACAAATTTGCCCTTGCACGGTAAATGTAGGCGAAAATCGCGGCATTATTATTTCCCGGTCAACTCCGAAGGACGTCATTTGAAAGCATGAGTTATATTTCTGGATCCTGTTTAAAAAGCGTCGTGACTCATTAGCATCATATACAAAGAGTTTTCAAAGGTTCTTCTGATTCCCAAGTAACGGAAGAGACACTTTGCCATTGGAACAGCACATACCTGCGGTCTCATCTTTCCATTTTAAAGCGCTGCAAAATCGACACGCCTTGTCCATCAGTCCGATAACAATTAACCTGTGATTTTTATAATCAATCAAGGGATCATAATTGAATGCTGCGTCATTAAAAACCGACCAATTGTCGACGTTCAGCTTGGAGCTGTGCATTTGCATCTCTTCGCGCCGCTGTTCTGGTGTTTCAGATGCCCTTATAGTAGATTGACGTTCAGCTTGCTCAATGAGTCTGTGTTGAGTTTCATCAGGTGTTTCCGCGGCTCTTAAGGCGGCCTGACGTTCCGCTTGTTCGAATAGCCTTTGCTGACTTTGAGCAGGTGTTTCAGTAGCTCTTAAAGTAGATTGACGCTCTGCCTGTTCAAGACGCCTTTGCTGACTTTGATCAGGTGTTTCAGGTGCTCTTAAAGTAGCTTGACGCTCTGCCTGTTCAAGACGCCTTCGCTGATTTTGAGAAGGTGTCTCAGATGCTCTAAAAGCAGCCTGACGCTCTGCTTGTTCTTGCCTTCTCAGTTCAGCATATTCCAAAGATTCTAGCGGTCGAGCTAACCTTTTCGCTTGTCTTTGAGAAGATACTCTTGAAAGGCTGGACTTACGTTTGCGAGGCATTATGAAGTAACAAAAAACCTATTTATAAAAAAAACGTTAAAATATATAAAACGTTTTTTCGAGGGTAGGTGCAAAACAGATAACAGCTGAAATTATCTCTTGTGTTTTATTTACATTTAAAAATAAGTATAATTAACTTAGCTGCTTAATTTTTTACTCCAATTTGGAAGAATAAGTTTTAGCATTATTATCAATTATAGGAATGTGCATTTAATCTAGTTAAAATATTTATATTCATCTTCCCTCCATAACCTCTGTCACACTAAATATAAATTACTATTTTTCTATCTCTCCTCGGTTAATTCACTTTACTACAATGGCAAATGTCTCTGAAGTTGTGAATATCCAAAAGGAATTGGAAGGGAGCTTGACCAGGAAGATGGTGGAGTTTGAGAAACGTCTGAAGGCTGCAACTACTCCAACTAACCCAACAGTTTTACAGCTTCGGGAGGAGTTTGATTCATTCAAGGTACTTGTTAGTTCCATGTTTAGCCTGCTGCAACAGCAAATTCAGGAATGCAACAAAAGTGTTGATGCAATCAGTATGTATCACCGGAGAAAAGTTCTGCTTTTTCATGGATTGGCTGAGGCTTCTGAAGTTGACCTAAAACAGCAAATTTTACAACTGTTGCACAAGTATCTGGGTTTAACTCATATTACTGATGACTCTCTCAAGAAATGCCACAGACTTGGTGTTCAATCCAGTACCCGTCCAAGGCCAATTCTTGTGCACTTTAATGATCATAGCACTAAGTCTGCGATTTGGAATTTAAAATCAAAGTTTAAAGGGTCTGCCATTTCAATGTGTGAATTCCTCACTAAATTTCGTCAGTCCATACATAAGAGTGCCCGTAAGCATTTCGGAATTAGAAATGTCTG